AATTGGGAACCAATGACGTGTGCAGGAGGGATGACAAACATGGAATTCCTTGATGCAGTTTGGCATTTCCTCAGACTTGGTTGACATTCTTGCCTGTATGATGTGAAAGATGTGAAATCTTAAATCTTGAATGATGTGATTGACCATTTAAATTATCTTGTTAAATTAACTTCTTCTTTTTTAATGCCAAATAAAGTCATTACAAAGTCATCCATAGATCATTTATATTTATCTTGTTGAAATAACTTATTTTGTTTTATGTCAAATAAAGTCATTGTCATTATCCACAATCTCTTCCCTTTGTGTTTGGATTAGTACATTAGGACTAGTCCATTAATCATCGAAGGTAACAGTGTAGTGAACCTCAGTGCAACCAACCATAACCTTTGTTGTTTTAACACGTCTAACTTTTGGGACTTCTAACTTTTGGGAGGATACCATTTGACAGACACCCAATTGACAGACACTGAACTATAAGGGTTAATTAGGGTAACACCTACGGGTATAACTTCTTTACTCCATATGAATAATATTTAGATTCACATTTGGCTTTATTTGATTAATATGATACAACAGTGTCGCAATTTCTAATAGCTAAGCTAATGTTTTCAATATGATGATGCCGACTCCCATTAGACTAGAAGGTTAAACCGAAATGTTTACGAAAATAAACTGTTTTTATATTGCTGCAATCAAAATTCACTGAACCGTAAATGTTGTTGTTTTAAGGTGTCTGCGAACTGGCTGTCTGTGTAATGGGAGGACACGTTTCACACAGATGCTTCATTTCAATGTTTAAATGTAGCTAATAAAACTGGGGAAAATACTAACAGCAAATTTGTAGGAGGGTTGTGACCATAGTGTTGTCATAGTGTCTGGTTGCTGTAAGGCTCCTGCATGGACAATTAGGATATAAATGTCATGTGTTGGCCAATTTCCGAGTGTTATTGAGTATTTGAAGCACGGGAATTCATTGGAACCGACGGCATTAGCTGGAGGTTTCAAATGAAGTATTCCCGTGCTTCAAATACTCAATAACACCAGGAAATTGGCCAACACATGATAGTTATAGACATTGTAAACACAAGAGTAAAACAAAAGGTCCACACACGTTTTTGTGTCTGCACTTATTGACATCGAGTAGGGGTACAGTAGTGAAATGTCATCAGCCGGACGTTTCAGCTGTCTCCCATGGTAGCATCTGGAAGAGCTACTTGTGACGTCATTTGGACTTTACGTCACAATATGATTTGAATGATGTCACCACTACAATACAATGGTGTGTGTGCGATGTTTGTATGTATTAATACGCATCGAATGGTCTTGCAAATTCCGGGAATCGAATACCATTCGATCATGTTTTTCAACCATTCAGATTAAAGAACACAGTGACTTTTGGTTTACAATGTTGTATAATAACACTGTGATGCTGTACTGTGGGTGGTGTGTGTGTATGCTTCGATGTACAATAAAGGGCGGGCGGTTGCTGTGACACAGCGGGGTGAGAGTTGAGGGGTGAGGGTTGAAAGGTGAGGGTTGAAGGGTGAGGGATGAAGAATGAGGGTTGAGAGTCGAAGGATGAGGGTGGAAGGGTGAGGGTTGAAGGGTGAGGGTTGAAGGGCGAGGGATGAAGAATGAAGAATGAGGGTTGAGAGTTGAAGGATGAGGGTGGAAGGGTGAGGGTTGAAAGGTGAGGGTTGAAAGGTGAGGGTTGAAGGGTGAGGGTTGAAGAATGAAGAATGAGGGATGAGAGTTGAAGGATGAGGTGTGATGTGAGGGGTGGGAAGTGAAGGCTGGTTGGGTGCTAGGCGTGACATATACTAGGGGAATACGTAGAGGGGTGGGTGTTGAGGGTTCATTGGCTGAAGCTGTCTACATATCAGATTATTTAATGTCTACTTGTATTACTGAAACATGTTAAAACATTATAATCTGAGTGCAAATAGCCCTGTTAAGATAATAATTTTCCAAGAAAGTGTAGCAACATTACAAGATTCCCAAACTCACTGGAAGAGATCAAATATGTTAAACACAATTTCTCCTCATTATTTCTGTATGACACATAATAAAACATAATTTGTTTTGACTAAGTGATAATGTCAAGATTGAATTTGAATTTGTTGTGAAACATGAATCTAAAAATGACTAATATAAGATAATTTTTCAATTTGATTTGTGAAATCATAATTTGCTCCTGGACAACAAGTGTCAGGTAAAATACATATGAAGCCAGGCTATGCCCCACACAACCCAAACTTTTACAACCTGGGGCACAATCTGTCATCTCAGGTAATCGCTATCAGGCCAAGCAATGGCAGCCTAAAACACCTGTTTCAATTCCTTCATCTCATTACAGGAAAGAAAATCAGTCGAGACAGCTGGCAAGGACCGTTTTTGTTTATGACACTGGTATCATAAGGGACCATTTTGGTATGTTACGGATATCCCGAAGGACCATTTTCTTTTCTGTTACAGGAATCGTAAGGGACCATTTTTGTTTGTTACTGGTATCCTAGGGGGCATTTTTGTTTCTGTTACTGGTATTCCAAAGGGCCATTTTTGTCTCTGTTACTGGTATTCTGAAGGGCCATTTTTGTCTCTGTTACTGATATCTTAAGGGAAGATTTTTGTCTCTGTTACTGATATCCGAAGGGCCATTTTTGTCTCTGTTACTGGTATTCCAAAGGGCCATTTTTGTCTCTGTTACTGGTATCCTAAGGGCCATTTTGTCTCTGTTACTGGTATCTTAGGGCCATTTTTGTTTCTGTTACTGGTATTCCAAAGGGCCATTTTTGTCTCTGTTACTGGTATCCTAAGGGCCATTTTTGTTTCTGTTACTGGTATTCCAAAGGGCCATTTTTGTCTCTGTTACTGGTATCCTAAGGGCCATTTTTGTCTCTGTTACTGGTATCCTAAGGGCCATTTTTGTTTCTGTTACTGGTATTCCAAAGGGCCATTTTTGTCTCTGTTACTGGTATCCTAAGGGCCATTTTTGTCTCTGTTACTGGTATCCTAAGGGCCATTTTTGTTTCTGTTACTGGTATTCCAAAGGGCCATTTTTGTCTCTGTTACTGGTATCCTAAGGGCCATTTTTGTCTCTGTTACTGGTAACTGACGGGCCATTTTTGTCTCTGTTACTGATATCCGACGGGCCATTTTTGTCTCTGTTACTGGTATCCTAAGGGACCATTCTTGTTTCTGGTATCGTAAGGGAGTATTCTTGTTTTTTATACTGGTATACTAAGGACTGGCAGACTGGTGAATTTCCATCCCTACACAAACACAAGTTATTTTTTGCTAACATTTCCAATATTAACAATAACAATGGAACAGATTGTGCAACAAATCATTTGAACTTTACTTCACTATGTCCTTCATCCACTTAATCATTAAACATATTATGTAAATAACCGTTACGGAGCAAAACTAGATCAATGATGACAACGTCACTACCAGGGAAAATCTTTCGGACGATGTAATGTTCCACATTATAAATGTCTCTATTAACAACCAGCCCCAAATCTTGGGAACAGCTTAAATATACTGATTGGGCTTTTTCTATATAGAAAATTAATGCCCTTAATCTTCAGACAATTTAACGAAATATTTACTACAAACACAATCCATAGGAACATACTCCTGAACACTGACCAAACACTCAGTGTTGTTAGAAAATGTAGATACAATTGATTTTCAATAGGGACTCGTCCGTTTTGTGTTTTTATTTACGTTAGTTTACACAACATCTGGTGCCATTGTGTTAACTGTACAGGTGCTGTGATTTGCCAGATCAAGCTGTGATTTATCTACCAACACATTGTATCCAGTGACGGTGTTCTCTGGCTTAGTTCTGAAAGGAAAACCAAGTTCTCTGGATATCAAGCAACGGTGTTGGTATCTACACCGAAACGTCGCATTCATTGCAATAAGGAAGTTGACTATCCACAGAACTTGATTTTCCTTTATCTTTACAACTTCTAAATTGCTTCTCAAAGTAGTCTTCAAAGGGCACTTTGGCACTAACTGTTGTTAAGAATAGTTAAAGCGTATATATATTCTCATTTGGGAGAACAGTAAAAGATAGCAGGTTTTCTACTAGCTTTACATACACACGAAACTGTATTCCAATGATTTATTATAGTGGGTGAGTTGGGTTTTAAGCCGCTTTTAGCAAAATCCCAGCAATATCATGGGACACCATAAAAGGGCTTCACACATCGTACCCATGTGGAGAATTGAACCTGGGCCTTCGGCTACCTCTCAGCTTAATGCTTTAACCACTAGGCTACCCCTCCGCCCCTGGCGGTTAAATCTAAGCCCCTGGCGGAGCGTTATGACTACCCATATATACCCTCAGTACTGTTGCCAGGTGAGCTCTGAAGTTGAGGATGGCACTCTGATAGACAGAGTGTTATGACTACCCATATATACCCTCAGTACTGCTGCCAGGTGAGCTATGAAGTAGAGGATGGCACTTTGATAAACGGAGTGTTCTAACTACCCATATATACCCTCAGTACTGCTGCCAGGTGAGCTATGAAGTATAGGATGGCACTCTGATAGACGGAGTGTTATGACTACCCATATATACCCTCATTATTTTTGCCAGGTGAGCTATGAAGTAGAGGATGGCACTCTGATAGACGGAGCGTTATGACTACCCATATATACCCTCAGTACTGCTGCCAGGTGAGCTATGAAGTAGAGGATGGCACTCTGATAGACGGAGGGTTATGACTACCCATATATATACCCTCAGTACTGCTGCCAGGTGAGCTATGAAGTAGAGGAAGGCACTCTGATAACCAGAGTGTTATGACTATGCATATATACCCTCAGTACTGCTGCCAGGTGAGCTATGAAGTAGAGGATGGCACTCTGATAGAAGGAGTGTTATGACTACCCATATATAACCTCACAACTGAGTTTGAAGAGTGCTCTCTGACAGACAGAGCATTCTAACAACCCATATATACCCTCACCAAAGACATGTGACTTACCAGGTGAGCTATGAAGTACAGCACAGCACTCTGATAAATGGCATCCAGGAGGACCATCAGGAATGTCCAGTTAGTGTACATCTGAAACAACAAATGAGATACATATCTATTCAGAATAATGAGTGAGTGAGTGAGTGAGTGAGTGAGTGTGAGTGAGTGAGTGAGAGTGAGTGAGCAGGTAAAGTACAGCAATGCATTAACACATATTCTTGGAGAGTCACACGGCAGCGGTCTGTAAATAATCGAGTCTGGATCAGACAAAACAGTGATCAACAGCATGAACATCAATCTATGCAATTAGGATACAATAACATGTAGTCAGCGAGCCTGACCACCCAATCCAGTTAATCGCCTCTTACAACAAACATGGTATGGAAGATCAATTCTAACAGATCTTCACAGATCTATATTCATGGGGGATACCACAATTGATGTAACTGATTTGGTATCCTTGTCTAATGAGTGAGTTGGATTTTACACCCTTTTTAGCAATATTCCAGCAATATCATGGTGGGGTACACCAGGAATGGGCTTCACACATTGTGCCTATGTGGGGAATCAAACGCGGGTCTTCAGTGTGACGAGCAGACGCTTTAACCACTTGACTACCCCACCGCCCCCTTGTCTAATGTGTTTTTTGTGTCTTAACTTATATTGTGTTAATAATTAAATAGGTGGACTTTGAAGTTATTATTGCTCATTTCGTTTACCTTTGATATGTTTAATATTTTGGTTAAGTATGTAAATTTATGGAGGTATAGACGTTAACTCCAGTCTAGGTACCAGTTTCCACACTGTTTTACTAGTTATCCCTTCATAAACACAAAATTATATTTTCATGTTTGAAATTGGAGCTTATGTGCAATGGGTGACCACCGACAGTGCGACAAAATTACTTGATTGATTAAATGACAGCTGCAAACCAGATCTCTGACATGCAGTTGTTGAGAATATGTAATTGTTCAAGTAAAATTGATATTTTATACTTATCCTGACTCATGATCTTTTGCCTATCTCCCTTTTCCTTGCGAATGGTAGAGGAACACTTGAATCCCTTGAAGTTCCCGAAGGGGACGTAAAAATACACTCACCCACGAGTTACCTTCCTTTTCCTGTGTAAACAGTCATGTGACCAGCCTTACTTGTCAATCTCTCCTGATTTTTCTGCCCAAGCACCTGGATCTGCTGTGCAATCCGAAGTGTTTCCAGCGGGGAGGTCGGGAGGGCTTGATGTCATGAGTCAGGATAAGTATAAAAATATCAATTTTACTTGAAAAATTACATATTTTTTCTTATCCTGACTCATGATCTTTTGCTTATAGAATCCGACGGATTGGTGGTGGGTCAGGCCAGATGTCCTTAGATACGTCCTGTACCCCCCCCCATTGGAACTGCGTAGCGGCATTTCTGAGATCCTATTCTTCTAACTTCCGTTATAACTCGGGGGGACCACTTCTTGTCTTACTTCCATCTCAGACAAGTTGAATCATCTTGATTCATGTGGCTTCAGATAAACTAGTATCTTCTTATTACTAGATATCTTAGAACAACCCATAGATTATGATAAGATCTTTATCATAAATGAGTTGCAACCCCTTCACGTACAGGTAAGATCTTTACCCGTACAGGATCTTTAATCACTCATGCCAGCCTGTCCTAGACTGTGCGCATGGACTTTCAAACTAATACTTTTCTTTAGTAAAAGTTATCAACAAGTCAACGTGATAAAGGGTGTGATTTTCCAACTCAGCGCCTTTGTGCAGCTGTTAGTAGCTGTGCTACAAGGAGAGGCCCAAATTGGTGAATGCCTGAGACGTCTTCAGTGGCTATGTCTCGGAGGTAGTGGTTGGCAAACGCCGTGTCTGACTTCTAAAAGCAGCCCTCCATAATTGCTGATATAGAGCAATTTCCATGCAGAGCCAGTGTTGACGCCAATGCTCTGACTTCTAGTGGGTTGGAAGCTCTTGGAGGTTTTAGTCCTGCTGCTTTATAAGCTCTCAATATGACGGCTCTCATCCAGACCGATATCGTCGTTCTTGAGACTTCAGTTGATGTCTCTGTGGATAATGGGATGAACAGGCGCTTGAATTTTTCGTCTCCTTGTCTTAGTCTTTGAAGATATATCTTCAGGGCTCTGACTGGACACAAGGATAGGTCCTCTATATCCTCCGGTCCGAGGATTGTAGATAGCGCTGGTACGTAGAACTGTCTATCTGGCTGACCAGGTAGTTGGTTCTTGGCAATGAAGTCCCATCTAAGTCCTAGATGAATTGCAGCATGTTGCCCCGTGTCGAATCTGGTTCGACCAAAGTCCAGCGCATGTATCTCTGATATCCGAGCTGCTGTCGCTAGCGCAAGCAGGAACAGAGTCTTCTGTGTCAGCAGCTCGATTGCAGTCTGGTCTAGAGGTTCATAGGCATCACTTGTAAGATGACGTAGAATTACATTCAGATCCCAGGCCAGAGCTCTGAACTTCTTTTGATTGTCTTCCAGTTTAAAAGATCTCAGCAGAGCAAGTAATTATGGTACTCTCGTCAACTTGATGCCTATTTTCATGGTAATCACTCTACTGATGGCGGTGAGGTATGTAGATAATGCTGAACCTTTCAGATGTCTGGTCTGTCTAAGATGACACAGGTATTCCACCACTTGAGGATGAGTAGCTTTCATCGTAATGAAGTCTTTCCGCCTTGCACAAGTCTCAAACTTGTCATCATATAGGTTACGAGTAGATCTGCGTAACGCTAGCGTTACTGCCTTGGCTGCCCTGGCGGAATATCCTCTTTTATTCAAACATGTTTTGATACGGTCCACACATGTAGCTGGAACAGTGTTGGGTTCCTGTGGACTTGCTTGGTGCACGGGTGTATGAGTAGGTACGGCCAATCTGGTAACTTGATTGTTGGACTTCCCGAGATCTTCTATTAGGTCTAGGAAACATACTGATCTCGCTGGCCAGTATGGCGCGCCAAGGTCAGTTGTAGCGCCTGTGTCTGTTTGATCTTCAACAGTACTTACGGTAGTAATATCAGTGGTGGAAACGCATAAGCGTTTAGTCCTTCCCATGATATGTTCAGTGCATCTGTTCCCCAGGCTTGAGGATCTGGAACTGGTGAGACAAATGTCTGTAGTTGTTTGTTGAACCTCGTGGCAAACAGCTCTATGCATGGGGATCCTATTTCCCTTATGATGAGCCGAAATGCTTCTGGATGGAGTATCCATTCTGTAGGTGACGGGTGCAGTGGTCGGGAGAGAGCGTCTGCAAGCACGTTCTTGGCTCCGGGTATGTGACACGTCAAACAACTGGAATGTGAGCTGTAGTAGGCTTGGTGATCTTGTAGATCCTTGCCGATTTATGGAGAATGCCACTGTAGAGTTGTCCGTGTGGACCATCAGCATTCTGTTGATCAGTGAGCTCAACCATAGTTGTAAGGCTAAGTCACAGCTTTCATCTCCAGCAGATTGATGTGAAAATGCTTCTCTGTTTGGACCACTTACTTGATGCAACTTGATTGTTGAGATGTGCACCCCAACCTTGTATCAATGCGTCTACGTAGAGATGTGTGTTGAAGGCCGACTCTTGTAAATAGGTCCCTCCGCAGACGTTCGACCTGTGGGCCCACCAAAGTAGGTACCTCTTAAGATTGTCTGGCAGCAAGATAGGGTCGATGCTGTCCAGATGTTTTGTCAGGAACCGTTGCAGCAGCCTTAGTTGTAATCTTCCTGTGCCAGTCAAGTCCTGCACCAAGGTTAGTAGACCGAGTTGACATTGCCATGTTCGTAGTGTTAACGGAGAGATGACTGCTTGTGGAATCACGGCTTGTATCTTGACCCAATGATCTTCTGGGACCACAATTTGATTCTGTGTTGTGATAATTCTTATTCCCAGCAATTGAAGATCTTGTTTGATTCTAACTCCAACTTCATCAGGTTCACTAGTCATCCTAGTTGCGTGAGCAGCTTAATTGTGAAGTTCAGCTGCTATCTGAGTTGATTGGCACTTTGAAGAACCTGTATGCCGTTGTCTCGATAACCGGCACTGCGTAGACCTCGATGCTGCAGATAGGTGCCGATAGGCTTGGTTATTCGTATGAATAATCATAGAGCCGACGATATTCCAAACGGTAGGACATTCCATTGGAAGTGCTAACCTCTGATTGCAGTGATGATACATCATTCTTCCCCTTATATACGCAGGCGATCTGTGTTGTCATTGAAGTGTTGTCTATTTATAGCAAGGCTGGCTCCAGTGTAGCATCGTAGGGGACAGGTACTCATACTGACTTTTATCAGCAACAACTTCCAAAATAAACATTGTTTATCCTGCTGTCAAGGCTAGACATCTATTAAATTCCCATGATGATGACAGGCCGTAGTTGTATACTGTTTCCAAGGCTGCCAATGAAGTATTCCCCCGTACCACGGGTTTGTTTACAAATCAGAAAACATGCCGGAGCCTGCTCTGTCAGTGGGAGGCGTTGTCTGACGTGGACCAATCAGCTTCAAGCATGATGTCACCGGTGTTGTAGCAAGTTGGCCTCCATAAAATCTGATGCAATTAGTTGGTTGAGTAAAAGCGCGCGTAATTCTATGCCGCTCATATAAACCTCTTGAATAAGGGTTGCTCCAAGTGTAAATTCTTGTTCAGTGATATAAATCACGCATTCCCATTGTGGATAATATAAACCAGCATGACGAAGGAGGCTGTCGAGACGTATGTCTGTATGGATCTTGAAGAAATACCGATGTTGAACCTAGTTGATAGGATATAAATTCTAATCCCCACGCTGAGTGACGTCCGTTCAAGGATACTTCAAGGCGTTGTTAACCTTAAGCCCTTTACAAAGGTCGCCTTGAGGTTCTCCAGTACTTGAGATATCGACTTCATAGGTGATATCATATTGGAGTCGAAGTCATCAGCATATATGCAGTACGTCTCTGTTGGGTTGGAGTGGGTGAGTGAACGACAATATCCGCAGACCATCTGCTACCCGGTATAAGACCTCAGCATCCGTATAGATGAAGTGATTCCTTTCACCAAGTAGGTTGTCATCCGAAACTGAACCTATACAGGTATAAGGTTTGTGCAGGTTGTAGAGATGTGCAGGCTGTAACTGTAGAGATCGCACATGTTGTAGATTGTTTTTGTTGAGTTTTAAACTCTGACAAAACCATCCGTTTTCATCATTGCTTCGTTTTATTCAGCCGTATGGTAATAGAGTCAACGTCAACATCCTGCCTGTTGATGTAAGGGTTTGTTAACCCTAGGGTTCGCAAACCCTGTAGATGTCTGCGTTGCTGTTATCTGCCTGTAGATCTGAGAGTTCTCGAACCTTGTAGATGTCTGTAGCTTTCTCAAAGCTGTGCGTAGGTTAGAAGGTACCTTGGATATAGGTTCAATCCGAGGAATAGTCACCGAGTTAAAGTCGTCATTACGCATCTTATAAGTGTAGATTTCATCTATATCCAAAGAAGGAGACTCCAAGTTCAATCCAATCTGTAACCTCTGAGTCCGGGAAGACGAAGTCTGGTTATTCATCAGTTATCTCCTGATTGGTAGAGCAATGCCTCCGCGATTCATCCTTCTGCGAACCTGTATCCCTTCTCGAACCTCCATCATCCTTTTCGCTTCCTCCCTTAGCGACTGAAGATTCCTCCTTTCCTCTATCTGTGGACGCTCTTCACTATCTTGAGAGTCCTCTCTTCGTGAACCTCTATCTGTGGATTCATCTCTTCGCGAACCTCTGTGAAGTGAGCCTACTCTTCGCGAACCTCTGTCGCTAGATGTATCCCTTCGTGAACCTCTGTGATGTGAGCCTTCTCTTCGCGAACCTCTGTCTCGTGATGAGTGACTTCGCGAACGTCTGTGAGAGATATGAGATCTCGATCTAGAACGGCTATGTGTAGGAGATGAATCCTTCGATGTTCTCGAACGTTGAGGGTTCACAGATGTGTTACCCTCCGATCTGGTAGCAGATGCTTTCTTCTGCGACGTAGAAGAAGACGAGGTCATTTTCTTAGCCTGAGTCGGAGTCAACTGCGTTGTAGCCGATCTCTTCTTGGCCCCCGTACCAGCAGACTGCCCCTGCAACGTACTCAACATAGCACCAGTATTATGAATCTCCGCGGTAGCAATCAACATACGGTTTGCAGGCTGATCTCCTGTTTTATCAGCCGTGACTTGATATGACTTCCTCACCTGATCCATGGCACATCTATAGATATAAGACAAATATTGATTAAATTGTAGATTTGATAAATCAACACAATAAGTACAACGCAAGCTGGAAGAACATGGTTTTATGCACGAAAGACATTGGGGGTGAGGATGAGCCACGGATAACCTGTGCCTGCAAACACTGCAAGATTTCATGAAATGTAAACAAAGTTACATAACGATGAAATAAAATGCCACAAATACAAATAATTTTTACAAATTCTTAACATATAATGCATAATAGTTATTGCCAAATCCATACACAGCATAATTTTGAAGAATAGGACCTAAATAAAAAGGATATAATGCCGTATACGGGACTCCAGTGCTTTCGCCAACCATCCACTTGGGCGAAAGGGAGAGTAAGGCTGGTCACATGACTGTTTACGCGGGAAAAGGGAGGTAACTTCGTTGGTGAGTGTATTTTTACGTCCGCTTCAAGGGATTCAAGTGTTCCACTACCATTCGCAAGGAAAAGGGAGATAAGCAAAAGATCATGGGTCAGGATAAGAAAAAATAATATATTTTCAACACATTAAACAATAACATAACATCAATTTTCTACAGTCTATTTTGATGTGCTGCTTTAACTAGCAAAAAACATCCAAAAATTATCAAATCTACCAGCATCTGTATTTGGAAATATTCTGTCAACAACTAAATATCACATACATTTCGTGAATTACAATATTAGTACCAATAAATACACCATTAAATGGGTGGGGCTCATTTATTTATAAATCAAAAACAAACACCTACTGAGATCTTGATGTGGTTGAAAGATTGAGTTTTAAACATTCAGATACTGTGCATTTGCATATTAGGAAAGTAAATCTCGAGCTATAATCAATACTTGTCGGGTAAGTAGTATGTACAACATGCCTCCTTCACCTGATAAGTCTTGGCATGAGACATGCCATCTTACTGTATTACATTACACTAAATCAATAAGATTTGATGTAATGCACTGAAGTCACATGAGCCCTTCTTTCACTAGATTTTAGTCCTCTTGAGGGAACGGTTATCAAGTTCTTTCTATCACACTGTTGGGACTGAAATTCGGTCTGAGGAGGTCTGGGAATATCTCTGCCTATACTACTACAGATTATCCAACATCTGCTGTTGAAGGAGACCCGAGATTGTTCTCCCCTTTGGGTCACACTGTTGGGACTGAACATTGGCTTGAGGAGGTAAAGGAAATCTCTGCCTGTACAGATTATCCAACATTGGTTATTGAAGGAGACCCCACTTAGTGTCACACTAGTGGGGATAAGGCCTTAGGTGGTCTTCATGAACCCCTGCCAGGGGCGTAGCTACCATTATAAGAAAAAGCATGGGCTTACACATGATTGTTGCTAAGGTTGGGCAAGCCCTCAATACTATCTAAATATAAAGCTTTGCAACCTATCAGGCTTAAACGAAAAATATGGCTTGCTACGCGCCTGCCTGCCTACACTGTAGTGCTGGATTATAAAAAAAATTCATTAAATTTCATAAAAATGGGGATGAATATACACTTAAGTAGGTCTAGAAAATACCCTGACAATACTCTGATTCTGTCCCATTCAATACTAGGTAGTACAGAAGACTTTCTGTCACTCCAGTGGGGCTGAATATTGGCCTGAGGATGTCTCCATAAACTGCTGGCTCTACTCCTATACAGCCCCATCCAACACTTGGTAGTACTGAAGACTTGGGATTGATCTACTGGGGATCAAGGCCTGAGGAGGTCTCCATAAACCCCTGCCTATACTCCAAAACTGCCCCATCCAATACTGGGTTAAAAAGGAATCCCGAGATTGATCTGATCTCATTTTCTGCCAAAGAGGAGACACATAGTAATGGTTCAATATAAGCTTAAGTAGATCTAGAAAAATCCCTGCATCTACTCCTATACTGCCCCATCCAATACTGGGTTAACAAGAACACAAAGTCATCAATATCCCCCTCAATGGCAAAATACTCTTCATGATTATGTCTACGAGTTATGATTATGTCAAATACTTAGGTGTGTATATAGAAAAGTGGAAGGAGAGTATTGAAAGGTTTTTAAAGTTCTGCTCCGGAAAAGAGCACTACCACCAATTTCAGTCTAAGTCGAAATTGTTGCCATGGAAACGCCAAAAATATTTTATTCAGAATTCCCAAACTACCAAAAGGCACCAGTTCACAGCCCGATCTATCTATGTGCCAAGTTTGGTGAAGAAATAGTGAACGGTTTTAGAGTTCTGCTCCGGAAAAGAGCACTACCACCAATTTCAGGCTAAGTCAAACTTGTTGCCATGGAAACGCCAAAAATATTTTATTCAGAATTCCAAAACTACCAAAAGGCACCAGGACACTGCCAGACCAATCTATGTGCCAAGTTTGGTGAAGAAATATTGAACGGTTTTAAAATTCTACTCCGGAAAAGAGCACTACCACCAATTTCAGGCTAAGTCAAACTTGTTGCCATGGAAACGCCAAAACTATTTTATTCAGAATTCCAAAACTACCAAAAGGCACCAGTACATCACCAGATCTATCTATGTGCCAAGTTTGGTGAAGAAATAGTGAACGGTTTTAGAGTTCTGCTCCGGAAAAGAGCACTACCACCAATTTCAGGTTAAGTCAAACTTGTTGCCATGGAAACGCCAAAAACATTTATTCAGAATTCCAAAACTACCAAAAGGCACCAGTACATCACCAGATCTATCTATGTGCCAAGTTTGGTGAAGAAAAAGAGAACGGTTTTAGAGTTCTGCTCAGGAAAAGACAAAAGTGCCCGGCATCTACGCCTATACGCGCGCCATTCGGAGTCCATTTTAATAGGATAAAAAGGAATCCCGAGATTGATCTGATCTCATTTTCTGCCAAAGAGGAGACACACAGTTTGGGTTCAATATAAGCTTAAGTAGATCTAGAAAAACACCTGCATCTACTTCTATACTGCCCCATTCAATACTGGGTTAAAAAGGTATCCCGAGAGTTATCTGATCTCACTTTCTGCCAAAGAGGAGATGCATAGTTTGGGTTGAATATGAGCCTAAGCAGATCTAGAAAAATCCCTGCCTATACTCATACCGCCCCATTCAATACTGGGTTAAAACGGTATCCCGCGAGTGATCTGATCTCAATTTCTGCCAAAGAGGAGACACACAGTTTGGGTTCAATATAAGCTTAAGTAGATCTAGAAAAATCCCTATATTCATACTGCAATATCCAAACAAGAAGACTTGAGACTGACCTCCCCTTTCTGGCCAACACTGTACAATTCCGGCTTCTCCAGCAGCACCTCGGCCGTCACATCCTTGTCAAAGATGCCGTTGACAATGGGAGGCAGTGATGTGAAGATAAGATGGAGCAGCATCATGTAGATACTGTCCAGCATCAGGGAGCCGGAGAAACCACTGAAGAATTGGAACCAGAAGAGCATCATCACCGACATCTGAAACAGAAGGACCTCTTGAAACACTGACTGACTGACTGAGTTTAGTTTTACGCCGCTTTTAGCAATATTCCAGCAATATCACGGCGGGGGACACCAGAAATGGGCTTAACACATTGTGCCCATGTGGGGAATCGAACCCGGGCCTTCGGTGGAGAACGCCACTGGCTACTTGTTCATCCTCTTGAAACAAGACTGCACTGATACACTGTGATTCATGTGATTGCATGGGAGAGCCTGAAATTGTTCATCAATGAGTGGACAAAGATACAGATCCTCTCAAAATATATGTGAACAATAGAGAGTGAGTGAGTGAGTGAGTTTAGTTTTACGCTGCACTCAGCAATATTCCAGTTATATGACAGCGATCTGTAAATAATCGAGTCCGGACCAGACAATCCAGTGATCAACAGCATGAACATCGATCTATGCAATTGGGATACGATGACATGTGTCAACCAAGCCAGCGAGCCTGACCACCCGAGCCTGTTAGTCGCCTCTTACGACAAGCATGGGTTACTGAAGATAAATTCTAGCCTGGATCTTCATGGGAGAGAGTATGGAACAATGGAGAGAGTTCTATGGATATACAACTTCTTTATCATTAACAAGAAGTTCTATATCGTTTCTCTCCCTGTAGCTACTAACACTGTTATCAGAGTCACTTGCCCCAAATACACAAATTCATCAGTTAGATTGTTTATAATTTAATGCCACACTCAGCTACATGGCAAAGATATTATACTAACACAGCTGATAACATATTCATTTGAATGTAAGGAGGTAATGTACAGTCCCAAGTAACATTCCACACCATCTGTATGTTATCAGGAAGATCAGACCCCCCAATCCGATGAGTCGCCTGTTATGACATGCTAATAGCATTGGCATGGCAATATTGATTCTAATCAGAAATCCTTATTGTGTTGCTGAAGCAGACATTTAATTCATGCTCCAGGGAAGGCAAGAGACTGTTCATCCATGATCAGACAAAAATGATAACTTTCCTCAAGTGTTTCCCCTTTAATAATGACCTTCCCAAAACACAAAGAAGTTTGTTTACTATGAATAATCAAATTATACAATTGTACCTTGAGCATGAAAACACTGTCTCTATTTCTATGATGATCCTTAAACACAGTGTTCATTTCACAATCTTCCCCTGTTATGCTGTCTGTTTATCCACTTCCTGTTTCTCCATAAGGGACCATTCATTATTTTGTCAAAATGTCCACAAGTATGCTGTCTGTTTATCAACTTCTTGTTTCTCCCTAAGGCACCTTTCATTATTTTGTTAAAATGTTCACAAGTAACATATTTATCAGTTTCCCTTACCAAACTCTTGTAGAACATGAAGGCTCCAAATTTACTCAGTCGGTTATAGCACCAATGACCATGGACAAGAAGCAGCCTCTCGAGATACTTGAACCTTGCAATGGCAAAGTCAGAGGACATGACAGCCTGCATGCCCTCCTGGCCTGAGATTCCGATACCAATATCAGCTGTCTGGATCATGCTGACATCGTTAGCTCCGTCACCTGCACAGACACGAGGAGTAATGAATCTTGGGCTCCGTTACAAAGGACAAGAGAAAAATGGCTAATGAATAAAACATGAGAGTGCCCATGAAACATGTAATATTTTGATTAAAATTGATATTTTATACTTATCCTGACTCATGCTTAATTGCTTGTCTCCTTCTTCTTGCGAATTATAGTGGAACACTTGAATCCATTTTTGAAGCTCCCTTAAAAAAAGCAGACATAAAGTCACTCACCCAAGGTTGCCTCCCTTTACTGTTTTGGCACCAAAATCAGTCACATGATCCCCCATGCTTGTCACTCTCTCCATTTATGAGCCCGACACCTGGATTTATAGGAAAATACAGAGTGCCATGAGGGGAGGTTGGGAGGGCCGAGCTCATGAGTCAGGATAAGTATAAAATATCAATTTTAATAAAAAAATACATATTTTTCCTTATCCTGACTCATGCTTAATTGCTTGTAGAATCCGACGGAACCGGTGGTGGGTCAAGCCACTTATAGCTTGCTGATTTACGTCCTGCATACCCCCCCAAGGGAACTTCTTATGGCACTGTGCTGATCCTTTCTTCCAGCTTTCTCTGATGAGTCTGGGGGGACCACAACTTGTCAGATTTCTCTGGAACCGTCTTCTCCTGACATTATGTGTGGATTTATGCAACTCCATGCCTTGATGCTCGCATCAAGTGGAGAGGTGACCCTTCTTTATGTACGAGTAAGTCCTTTACAAGTACAGGGTCTGTCACTCATGCTGGTCAGTCCTAGACGTGCACATGGACTCTAAAGCTCTAGCTCTTCAAAGCGTTGGCTTTTACAAGTCACGTGATAAAAGGGTGAGATTCATCTCAGTGCCTTTGAGGAACTGTCAATTGCTGAGTTACAACAAGAGGCCCAAACTGGTGAATGCCAGAAACGTCCTTGGTAGCAATGTCTCTGAGGTAGTGGTTGGCAAACACCGTCGATATCGTCGTACGTGAGACCTCTGTAGGCGTCTCCGTAGATAGAAGGATGAAAAGGCTCTTGAATTTTCGTCTCCACATCTTAGACCTTTGTAGGTAGACTTTCAATGCTCTGATTAGGCATAAGGATAGGTCCTGAGTATCCTGTGGACCAAGGACTGTCGAGAGTGCTGGGATGTGGAACTGTCTGTCTGGTTGACCGGGCAGTTGGTTCTTTGCTATGAAGTCCCATCTCAATCCCAGATGAACGATGTTGCAATGTGCATCAAATCATGTTCGTTCAAAATCATGTTCGTTCAAAGTCCAGAGCATGCATTTCCGACATCCGAGCTGCTGTTGCCAAGGCGATCAGGAACAGAGTTGTGTGTGTTAAAAACTCATAGGATGTCCTTTCTAGTGGTTCGTAAGCGTCACTGGTGAGATGCTGCAAGACTACGCTGATATCCCAAGCAGGCGCTTTAAATATCTTTTGTTGGTCTTCCAACTTAAAGGAGCGTAGTAGAGCCAGTATCTCTGGTACTTTGGTCAGCTTAACACCCGTCTTCATTGTGATAACCGTGCTGAGGGCCGCTAGGTATGTAGCGAATGTTGAACCTTTTAACTCTTCGTTTGTCTTAGATGACAAAGGTATTCCGCCACTTGAGGATGTGTTGCTTTCATCGCCGTGAAGCCCTTCCTCAATGTATATTTTTCAAAACTCTGCCACTTGTCGTCGTACAAGTTGCGGATTGATCTACGTAGAGCTGGTGTGATTGCTTTTGCTGCTCTGGCAGAATATCCTCTTTTCTTCAAGCAAGTCTTGATACGTTCCATGCGTGTAGCTGAAATACTGTTGGATTTCCTTGTGCTTGCTTGGTGTGTGGATGAATTAGTAGGTTCGGCCACTCTGGGAGTTGCAGGGTTGGACTTCCGAGTTCTTGTATGAGGATCGGAAACCACACCCTCGCTGGCCAGTAGGGTGCGGCCAAAATCAGTTGCAGCTTCTTCGTCTGCTTGATTTTCTGCAACACCTGCTGTATTAGAGCTGGAGGTGGAAACGCGTAAGCGTTCCCAGGAGATGCTTAGAGCATATGTTGCCCATGCTTGTGGATCAGGAACCGGAGAGACGAATGTTGGTAGTTGTTTGTTGAACTTTGTAGCAAACAGGTCTATCAGCGGAGATCCTATCCTCTGTATGATGCATCTGAAGTCTTCTGGATGTAACATCCATTCCGTCGGGGATGGATGTGTTGGACGAGATAGGGCGTCTGCTATCACATTCTTGGCTCCGGGAATGTGGCATGCGTTTATGTCGATGTTCAGGTTGTCTATGCTGAACAGATGAAAGCTGAGGTCTAGAAGATTCCTTGACCGTGTTGATCCTTGTTTGCTGATGTAGAACGCCATTGTGGAGTTGTCCGTATGGATCATCAGTTGTCTGTTCCTTAGTATGCTGGACCAGTGTAGTAAAGCGTTTATTACTGCTATCATCTCGAGCATGTTGATGTGCAGTCTCTGCTCTTGACTCGACCATTTCCCTGCTGCCACTTCATTGTCGAGGTGGGCGGCTCCCCATCCTTGAAGTGATGCATCCGACATCCGAGACGCTGTTGCCAAGGCGATCAGGAACAGAGTTGTGTGTGTTAAAAACTCATAGGATGTCCTTTCTAGTGGTTCGTAAGCGTCACTGGTGAGATGCTGCAAGACTACGCTGATATCCCAAGCAGGCGCTTTAAATAGCTTTTGTTGGTCTTCCAACTTAAAGGAGCATAGTAGAGCCAGTAGAGATGAGTGTTGCACTCCTGCTCTGAGTGGGTTCCTCCGCAAACATTCGACTTCCGAGTCCACCATAGAAGATATGGTTTCAGTCCGTCCGGTAGTCCGAAGAAGTCCAGACTGTCTAGATGAGCGTTCACGAACACTTGTAGTGGGCGCAGTTGTAGTCTTCCTCTGCGTGTCATGTCTTGTGCTGACTCGAGAAGAACAAGTAGGCTCTGCCAACTTCGTAGTGCCAACGGAGAGAATAGTCCTTGAGATATCATCTGTTGTATCTTGACCCAACGCTCCTCTGGGACGACTATGCGATTCGCTGATGTGATGATCTGTATTCCTAAGAATTGAAGATCCTGTGTGGGTTCTAGTTCCGACTTGAGGAGATTTACTAGCCATCCTAGTTGAGTGAGTAGCCTGATGGTGAAGTCTACTTGCAGTCTGAGTTGACTGGGATCTTGATGAGCTTGAATCCCGTCGTCCAGGTAAAACGCACTGCGTAGACCTTGATGATGTAGATATGTCATGACAGGCTTTGTCACTCGAGTAAACAACCAGGGGGCTGATGATATTCCAAATGGTAGCACCTTCAATTGGAAATTACGTCCGTTGAAGAGGAATTGTAGGTATCTCCTTGAGTCCGGATGTATCGGCATGTGAAGATACGCATCCTGCAGATCTATGCTGGCAAGGTAGTCTAATGGACAAACGAGTTGTCGCAGTTGAGGAAGGTGTATCATCCTGAATTTTAGATAATCTTGGTTGAATTTCCTCATGTTGTAGATGAGTCGGAACTTTTCCCTGGAATTTTTCTTTTGTACCATGAAGATTGGAGAGTAAAAACCGGGTGTGACGAGCTCCTGTTTATCTCTTAGACTGCCTCCTTGTCAAGTAGAGTTGTGATGGCATCGAGTAGCTTCTCCATCTGGTCGGCAGCAAAGTTGTGGGCCAGAGGGTTGCTTGTCAATGGTGGTACTGCTTGTAGTTGTATCTTGTATCTTCTGCGTAGGATCTGGGATACGTAGTCGTCCTGAAGAATTCCTCGATTCTCCCAGTAGCGTTGCAGACGTCCACCCACTGTTGAAGGTTGTATAGGAACGGCTGGGGGTGGAAGACTCCAGTCGTTCCGAACCCGTCCATCAGCGTCTAAATGGGTGCTCTGCCTCTTCCGGGGTTACCTCTGGGAGCTCCGGTTGGGTGACGAAAAGAATCCTTGCCTCCTCTGGAGTTGCCGTATTTCTTTTTCCTGGCTCTCTGTATCACCGTAAACTTCGACTTGCCAGAGTAGCGTTGCGATGTCTGACGGATAACACTGGCCAGTGTATCGATGGACTTGATCATCATTACCTCTCTTGACTCTTTCATAACTTCTTTAGCCACGTCCTCAATTTCCCCTGCGAAGATAGACGATGCTGACCACGGAGCTCTGTACAGTGTCTTGGTGAACCGCTCACTCCAACTGCAGGAAGACAGCCGCTGATGTGGGTGCCAGATGTTCAGACATAAACTGATGATCTTTCTTTTGGGTCAGCAATGCAGAGTAAATCATCCCATCCTCTTCAGAGGTCGAGTTCCTGAACTTCGCGATGACGGTTTCATTGATGGCTCTTGATCTGGCTAGACCAAAGAAGGTACATCTGGTAGTTGTGTCTAGTTGTGCCAGCTTCTTATCCTCTATTTTATAAGTCCTTGATCGGGAGTCGCTTGATCGGGAGTCTCTGGGGCCTTCATGAAGGGATCTTTGTGGTGAAGTGAGAACTTCTTGGCGTTGAATTGGGGGACGCTCTGACTCTGGAACTTCGTTGCCTTCCTGAAGCCTGTGCTGAGGTTCCCGGTACATCCGAAACAGGATCGATGGGTGGAAGGGTGAGCGTATCAAAGTCGTCGTTTGACATCATATATGTGAATGCTTCATTATCCTCTTTAGAAGGTGATGCAAGTTTCAATCCATTAGCCATCCAAGATTTGATCTCTGTATCGGAGATTATGATTCCGCCATCATCTTTAGATCTAGAGGCCTCTTGTTCTGAAGATCGTCGCCGTTGTGCCTCCTTCCTGCATGGAGATCTGCATGGAGACGTGCGTGGAGATGTGCCTGAAGACCTTCCTGAAGACCTGCGCTCAGGTGACCGGTTCGGATAAGGATCCTCCCTGGAGTCTTGAGACGTATCTCTGTGCCTTCATGAAGGTGTAGATTCTCTTCTACGGGATGTGGGGTACCTGCGCGCAGGCTCCTGATGGCTGTCCGTATCTGAGGTCGAGGATGATCTGCTTCTGCGATGCTCCGGTGAACATCTGGTTCTGCTCCTTCGCGAAAGCTCCTCTGGAACATCTTCTGCAGACTCATCATTGTCAGGGCTGGCAGGTTTTTGGGAAGTTGCCGTGGACAATCGTCGAGTGCGTGACCCTTCACATAGGTTACCTCCTTCACGCAGGCTACCATCTTCAACAGGATGCGATCTGCAGGCTGCTTGTCCTTCGTGCAGGCTTGTCGTAGATGGGGCCTTCGCCGCAGCCTTCTGTTCCATCAGGTCCAACATCTGCTGAGTAAACTGCTGCATGAAGATACCCGGGCTGAAATTCTGAGATGACGGCTGCTGCTGCTGTAAAGATGAAGACGCATCTGAGAGAGCTGAGGCTTCTTCCAAGGACCGCTGTGCTTGTGAAGAACTGCCGTCTCTGGTATCTGATGTCTGCATTGATAAAACGTCTGACTGCGCTGAGATGACTGCTGACGTCACTGTAGAAGATCTCGTCTTCTTCTTAACTGCTACTTCAGGAATGAGGATGGGAAGACTTCGCCAAAGTCTTATCTGCAGACGACTTCTTTTCCTGAGAAGACGATGCCGTGGTTTTCTTAGACTGCGACGAGGCCACTACTGACGTTGACGACCTCTTCCTGGAGCCGGAGCTTACATCTGCCACAGCAACATGCTCCGTAGTAGCAACTGGTAATTACTGGAATGGTGAATCTCAGTAGACAGCAATAAACGGTTATCAGCGCATTCACTCGGTTTCGACATGACTTGTAAAAGTTGTCTAGACCTGTCCTTGGCACGTCTAAGAATGGAATATAAATACAGTCAAATCCCGATGAGTCGAATCGCTGGGGACCAAGTATTAAATTCGACTTATCAATGTATTCGAGACATAGGTATGTCTATGAGGGTAGAAAAAAAGAAGATCCAGTCCTGATTCCTCCGCCTAAGCATTTGTTTATCTAATCATTTCCCAATCACTAATCTGCCTTTTGAACTCACCCGTCAATGGCGGAAAGGTGTGAGCCGCGCGCTGGTTTGTTAATTGGATCAGTTTGCTACACCAATCAACTTCTCATTGACTGACTTCGGCTTATGTATACAAGATTGCTGTTGTTTGAATCTCATGGGACCAATTTCCTTCTCGAGTCATCGTGTGTATTTATGAGACGAATTCGTGTAAGCGGTATTCAAATGATGACAACTATAATAGGGAATGGTCGGAACCGACAGGTACTTCGAGTTATGCATAATATTCGAGACACCGGCATTCGACTCATCGGGATTTGACTGTAATTATTACATTCAATTTCAGATAAATGCTGACAAAGTTGACAGCGAAAGCTGGAAGAACATGTAGAAGTGCAATTAGGACATAACAGATGCGGATCAGCAACCGACAACCGGTACCTGCAACGAATGCAAGTTTTATACAATTGTAAACAAGATAACAGATAATTTAGACAAACATTTCGAAACATATTGCTGGTATATCCTTCCTAAATGCTGTATACAGCTAATTTAGTGGTAAAGGCCTAAAAATAAAATGATATAGTGCCGTATAGGGGACCCAGGCGCTCTCACAACCGTCCTCTAGGGTGACAAGCATGGGCGATCATGTGACTGATTTTGGCGCCAAAACAGTAAAGGAAGGCAACCTTGGGTGAGTGATTTTACGTCCGCTTTTTTTAAGGAAGCTTCAAAAAGGGATTTAAGTGTTCCACTATCATTCGCAAGAAGAAGGAGACAAGCAATTAAGAATGAGTCAGTACCCATGTCTGGAATCGAACCCTGGTTGTCAGTGTGAAGAGCAGACACAGTAACCATTAGGCTACCCCACAGCCCCGTTGTGGTTATTGAGAATATCATAAAATTTGAGTATAGGATTTGATGACTACTTAATGCTGCAGCTGGACGAAGGGAGATAACTGGACTGGGACTGTAATGATCCAGTATTCTGCATGTAACATTAGTGAACTGGTTCCAGCATATATACATGTATCAATCTACATAAAATACCTAGATGAGTTTAAAAAGGACTTACATCAATCAAAGTGGAGATAACAAATATTTAGCACCTAATATCAATTATTTCAAAAATATAGTTTACAAGGCGGCAAATGGTGACAATGAACACATATTAACAGATTTGAAACCTTTTTGTCAAAAAAAAGTAAGCTGCAAGTCTGTGGGACTAGGAGTTATTGTTAGAATGTCATAAAAGATACCCTTGTCTTAACAAAATCCTAAGAATTCTGCAGAACATACCAATGGCTAATGTGAGCTTCTTCAACTCTTCCTTCACAAGTTTGACGACATGTCCCTGAAAACAACAAAGACCGGAATCAGATGTTGCAGTTGTTGGGGATGGTTGTTGGGAACAGTTGTTGGGGTTGGTTGTTGGGAACAGTTACTGAGGACGATTGTCGGGAACAGTTGTTGGGGATGATTGTTGGGAACAGTTACTGAGGACGATTGGTGGAGAACAGTTGTTGGGGTTGGCTGTTGGGAACAGTAACTGAGGATGATTGTCGGGAACAGTTGTTGGGGATGATTGTTGGGAACAGTTACTGAGGACGATTGGTGGAGAACAGTTGTTGGGGTTGGCTGTTGGGAACAGTTACTGAGGACGATTGTCGGGAACAGTTGTTGGGGATGATTGTTGGGAACAGTTACTGAGGACGATTGGTGGAGAACAGTTGTTGGGGTTGGCTGTTGGGAACAGTTACTGAGGACGATTGTCGGGAACAGTTGTTGGGGATGATTGTTGGGGATGGTTGTTGGGAACAGTTACTGAGGACGATTGTCGGGAACAGTTGTTGGGGATGATTGTTGGGAACAGTTACTGAGGACGATTGGTGGAGAACAGTTGTTGGGGTTGGCTGTTGGGAACAGTTACTGAGGACGATTGTCGGGAACAGTTGTTGGGGATGATTGTTGGGAACAGTTACTGCGGACGATTGGTGGAGAACAGATGTTCGGGTTGGCTGTTGGGAACAGTAATTGGACGATTGTCGGGAACAGTTGTTGGGGATGGTTTTTGGAAACAGTTACTGAGGACGATTGTTGGGAACAGTTGTTGGGGTTGGCTGTTGGGAACAGTTATCGAACAGTTACTGAGGACGATTGTCAGGAACAGTTGTTGGGATGATTGTTGGGAACAGTTACTGAGGACATATTGTCTGGAACAGTTGTTGGGGTTGATTGTTATCGGGAACAGTTACTGAGGACTGAACAGTTACTGTTGGGGGATGATTGTCATTGTTGGGGATGATTGTCGTTGTTAGGGAACAGTTGTTGGGGATGATTGTTGGAACAGTTACTGAGGACGATTGGTGGAGAACAGTTGTTTGGCTGTTGTGGGCGATTGGTTGTTGGGGCGATTATTGAGGGAACAGTTACTGAGGACGATTGTCAGGAACAGTTGTTGGGGATGATTGTTGGGAACAGTTACTGAGGGAACAGTTGATTGTTGGGAACAGTTACTGAGGGCGATTGGGGAACAGTTGTTGGGGATGGTTGTTGGGAACAGTTACTGAGGACGATTGGTGGAACAACAGTTGTTGTTGGGGTTGTGTTGACGATTATCAGGAACAGTTACTGAGGGCGATTGTCAGGGAAACAGTTGTTAGGGATGATTGTTGGGAACAGTTACTGAGGACGATTGTTGGAGGAACAGTTGTTGGGGATGATTGTTTGGGAAGACTGTCACTGAGGAAGGGATGATTGTTGGGAACAGTTGTTACAGGATGATTGTTGGGAACAGTTACTGAGGATTGGTGGAGAACAGTTGTTGGGGATGGAGAAACAGTTGGGAACAGTTACTGAGGACGATCGTTGGGAACAGTTGTTAGGAACAGTTGTTGGGGATGATTGTTGGGAACAGTTACTGAGGGGCTGTTAGGGATTGTCGGAGAACAGTTGTTGGGGATGGTTGTTGGGAACAGTTGTTACGATTGTGAGGTTAGGAACAGTTACTGAGGACGATTGTCGGGAACAGTTGTTGGGGATGATTGTTGGGAACAGTTACTGAGGACGATTGTCGGGAACAGTTGTTGGGGATGGTTGTTGGGAACAGTTACTGAGGACGATTGGTGGAGAACAGTTGTTGGGGATGGTTGTTGGGAACAGTTACTGAGGACGATTGTCGGGAACAGTTGTTGGGGATGATTGTTGGGAACAGTTACTGAGGACGATTGTGGGAACAGTTGTTGGGGATGGTTGTTGGGAACAGTTACTGAGGGCGATTGGTTGGGTTGTTGTTACTGATGGTTGTTGGGGTTGTTACTGGGGCGATTATCGGGAACAGTTGTTGGGGATGGTTGTTGGGAACAGTTACTGAGGACGATTGTCGGGAACAGTTGTTGGGGATGGTTGTTGGGAACAGTTACTGAGGACATATTGTGGGGAACAGTTGTTGGGGATGATTGTTGGGAACAGTTACTGAGGACGATTGGTGGAGAACAGTTGTTGGGGTTGGCTGTTGGGGATGATTATCGGGAACAGTTACTGAGGACGATTGTCAGGAACAGTTGTTGGGGATGATTGTTGGGAACAGTTACTGAGGACGATCGTCGGGAACAGTTGTTGGGGATGATTGTTGGGAAGAGTCACTGAGGACGATTGTTGGGAACAGTTGTTCGGGATGATTGATGGGAACAGTTACTGAGGACGATTGGTGGAGAACAGTTGTTGGGGATGGTTATTGGGGGCAGTTACTGAGGACGATTGTCGGGAACAGTTGTTGGGGATGGTTATTGGGGACTGTTGCTGAGGACGATTGTTGGGGACAGTTGTTGGGAACAGTTACTGAGGACAATTGTCAGAAAACAGTTGTTGGGGATGATTGTTGGGAACAGTTACTGAGGACGATTGTCGGGAACAGTTGTTGGGGTTGGCTGTTAGGGGCGATCATTTGTCGGGAACAGTTGTTAGGGGATGATTGTTGGGAACAGTTAGGGATGTTAGGGGACGATTTGGGAACAGTTGTTGGGGATGATTGTTGGGAACAGTTGTTGGGGACGATTGTCGGGAACAGTTGTTGGGGATGGTTGTTGGAAACAGTTACTGAGGACATATTGTGGGGAACAGTTGTTGGGGATGATTGTTGGGAACAGTTGCTGGGGACGATTGTCGGGAACAGTTGTTGGGGATGATTGTTGGGAACAGTTACTGAGGACGATTGTCGGGAACAGTTGTTGGGGATGATTGTTGGGAACAGTTACAGAGGACATATTGTGGGGAACAGTTGTTGGGGATGATTGTTGGGAACAGTTGCTGGGGATGGTTGTTGGGAACAGTAATTGAGGATGATTGTTGGGAACAGTTGCTGAGGACGATTTGTCGGGAACAGTTGTTGGGGATGATTGTTGGGAACAGTTACTGAGGACGATTGTCGGGAACAGTTGTTGGGGTTGGCTGTTGGGGACGGTTGCTGGGGACCTATTCTAGCCTTGAATCCTCACATATAACCTCTTTGTTAGACAACTGGAATAGGAAATCAATATTTCAACCTTTTGTATAGGCGTTGCTCGGCAACAGACGACAGAGTTGCACTTCTTGGTGAGATTCAGAAAAGCCTTCTTGGAAGAGTTGTCATGTAAGGCAAAGGCAAGCGTCTTTCCGTCGATGATTAGAGCATACTCCTTCTCCTTGGCAGGTGGGCCGTCTTGGGATGGTGACGTCCGGTTCAGGTTGATCTGTTCAATGTGATGGACGATCAAGTCTTTTGCTTCCTCCTACAGCACAGAAACATGACACTTCTTGAGATGAAAGGGAGGAAAAATGTGACAGTGGGGGACTGCTGAATAAGCTTGAAGGACACTCAAGGCCCTGTTAGCGATAAGTCGATTGTAACTCCAAATCTGCTATGTTGGGACATTTCGTGACATTCACCTAATATATAGGATATATATCCTGTCGCAGCTAAGGGACACTACACAGCATCTTACCTTTGTGTTGCTATTGAGGGTGACTGGTTCCTGATTCCGGTGGAACAATTTGCTGGCATAGGCAATCTCAATAGCTGTCTCCTGTTAAAATGAAAATGATTACAATGCATTTCTTCAATGAGAAAAACATTTACATTTCTGATTCTTCTTGGAGAACAATATGGAATAACAGTGTTTAGGATACAGTCAGTCACAATCGGCATAAGCTTGAGTGAAGGTTTGGGGCTTTAGTGGGGTAAATTTGTTTGTGATCTAAGACAAATTGATTTCTTTATAACTTTTTTTTTTAAAGTTATCCAACAAAATATTAATTTCCTGCACACAATCAAACAATCTGCTGAACAAATAACTTATGTTTAATATAGTGTACGTGTAACAATCCATTTTATTGTTTCCCAATATTCTTATCATTCCTGTTAATTAACCTGGATTAATTACCTGATTAATTTTCCAATTTGACAAATCCACTTTAATATTTTCAAGTTCAAACTACAGCTGAAGTAAACATTTTACACCAAAAGTAAACAGTATTTCTATAGCAGGTGAAACAATACAAGAATGGTATACAATGTCTTATGTGTTTATAAAATGCTTTGATTTCTTAAGGAATTAATTTCTCTGAGGACAGGATTATTTTCATATTTAAAGTTTACAGTAGAGTCCGCTACAATTCCTAATCCAACATCTAACACTGGAACTGCTTCCTAGACCGAGGAAATAGACGCACCTGTTTGTCTCCTGTCAACACCCAAATGTTGATCCCTGCCTCCCGTAGTTTTGCTATCGTCTCCGGCACACCATCTTGAAGTCGGTCCTCAATACCAGTTGCACCTGGACCAATAAAACAGAGTTATCTCCCTTTGTTCACTAGGCATAAACCACTCAGGGGCTCTTTTCACGAGGCAACCTTTACTAAGGTTAACCCTAACTCCCATTCTTTAACATTGCACTAAGGCGTGAGTCACTAAGGTAACCTTAGTGTAATGTTAAAGAATGGGAGTTAGGGTTAACCTTAGTAAAGGTTGCTTCGTGAAAGGAGCCCCAGATCACATCAGCTTATCTCTACCCTACACAATAGCTCAGGAAGTATTCATTACGCATGAATTCACTATGGACCCTGCAACACCTCATCGCACTGCATATACAGGGAACTATTAATGCAATTATATTACATCTGATTTTATAGACATAGGAAAACAGAAAAACCTTGACAAGTTATATTATGTTCATAACAGACACAATCTTGAACAAAACTACTTCCATGTGGATGCCAGTGAAGTAGTAGTAGGAGTGTTACCTGAGGGTGTCTGGGTGTTGTACCCTTCTCCCTAGGAGAATTCAAATACAAATTCATCAATGGCCATAGGTGCGGTCTCTCTCCGCTTCATATACATCAATTCTCATAGGCACGGTCTCTCTCCGCTTCACGGATACCCATATAATTGACATGTGTCATAATAAAGTGGGACTTAAAAATATGTCTTACTATCTTATACTCAGAGATTCAGGAACATTTAGATCAGGAGTCTTATCGTTTGGTCTTGTGCTTCTGTTTCGCTTTTCCTTTCATTGTCCTTCAGATGTGGAGGTCTTCCACTATTTCTGCTGGGAGAAATTCCCATAGGACCTATTCACTTTCTGAGACACCTACATACCTGACCTTGTACAATTTACCCCTGTAATCCAACATACATTCTCTATTGCTTCACTTAATTGAGTAAATCAGGCCACAGACGCATATTACATTTAATGTATTGACAAAGATGTTGATGCTGTGCCACCAGTGCATGTAGCAATGTTTGAGTACAACAAGTTCTATCTGGTACAATATACACGTGAACATAAAATAGGTAGGTTATGTAATGAACAATTGCTTGCTCCTCATTTTAAGAGCAAAGAAAGTAAACATGGCAAGATTATTAAGCATGGAAGTATTTTTGGTGGTAAATAAAAGTTTACATTTACACTCTGAAGGAAATTTGTAATAATAACTTGGCAGGAAATTTCTTCTACGGTCATTATAGAATGGACACACTAGACAGACATGGTATTCTGTTTCTATGTTTGGGATGATACAAAACAGACAAAGCTCTTCCACTTGTAGGTATGCCTAATTTTCTACCCTGTGATATCATAAGATCACTACAGAATGTACTGAAATTGTGAAAGAGTAATCCTAAATGATGACTGCCAGTTCTGGCCGAGATTCATTGGACCTATTCACTCAACCTGAACCACAACTAATCTAATTAATCCTCTGAAGTGGTGTAGTTTGATCATGGAAAAACGTTTGTGTCTAACTCACCCAGTAGATCAAGTTCCTCTTCTATCCGACATGCAGAGTCACTTAATCTTTATCTCACGGGTCCTCCAGCTAAGCCTCCCCTCCTGATGCATCTTGAGCCAATCTTTATAGACTTCTTGACTTAATGTCTACGATAGACAATACACAACACTTAGTCTTTCAATGTAAATTGTTTACAAACTTTATGCATAATTAGTGGCTTGTCACCATTTGTCATTAAAGGCTAAAAATATTCCATAACTGCACAGGATTTTGTATATTTTGATAAATACATATAGCTTTGAATAGACCTTTCTAAAACAAGATATAAAAGACCCAGCATTTATAATGATTGTCTCTAGGTATTATAGAAATAAATAAAAAGCAATACATATGGAAGTTGGCCACCAAGGTCAATAATGTCAGGTTTATGACTGACTGACTGAGTATGGTTTTACGCTGCTTTCAGCAATATTCCAGCAACATCACGGTGGGGGACACAAAAAATGGGCTGTCAGGTTTAGGAAAACATCTAATAATTAGATATTAATATTATTTTACAGATTAAAAATAATATACAGCAGAGGGTTCAGCTGATCCTGGTACAGACAGACTGATGTAATTTTTCTTCTTAATTTTTCATAACATTTCTGGGCACTTCTGCCTTGTTATTTATAACGTAAGTCAATAATATATATGTGCCAGACCAAAGCAGTCAATGTGCATTTCTTTTGACCAGCACGTGACCACTTCTAGCCCAATCAAAACAGAGGAAATATTCCCTTCTCTACTTACCCGTTTTGCCATGCAGAGTGTTCGCAGACCTTTCAAAGCATAATCCGTAATGTGCTCCTCTGTTTTCACTCGGACAGCCTTCTCCTCCGTATCGTTCACTGGCAAAGTGAACACAAGATCATTAGAGAGTGATGAACATGGTCTATACTTGTTGTTTACTGACCTCTAAGCAATATGCTATCCATACAACAACGTTGGCCTGTAAATAATAAATCTGGTTCCTACATGTAAATTACTGATTCAAATATGTTCCAAAAACATGATCATAAGGTTTCCATTTCACTTATATCTTCATTATTAGATACCTATATTTCCTTATTTACCCTTTCTTATTTTCAGTACTACACATTGCTTAAAAAGATTCCATATGAAGGAACTTCTAAATGTTATTATAATAGTGAATAAATTCAGAAATCTTTCTTGTAGGTTTATGAAATCGCTGGTCTTCCAAGGCATATGCTGCTGAGGGCCTGTCTAAACTTGAAATCCCCACTTGGTTAGAAGGCAAAGTATTCATTCATGCTATCATCAATGCAGTATAGCAAATGTAATGCAATATTATCATGGAATTGTGTCTGTGATGTTTGAAATGAAGTAGCTAATGTTTGGTTGGTTTGTTGTTTAATGCCGCACTCAGCAATATTCCAGCAACATGGCAGTTGTCAATAAGTCTGGACCAGACAATCCAGAGATCAATAACACTAACATCAACCTACGCAAGTGGGATACGATGACACGTGTCAGTCAAGTCAGCGAGCCTGACCATCCGATCCCGTTAGTAGCCTCTCACGATATGCATGGGTTACTGAAGACCAATTCTAACCAGGATCTTCATAGGTCCAAATAGGCAATGATTCCCTAATTAGATTACTGTAAAATAATGATTTGTCCAGACGTAAGTTTGAAGTTGCTACTGACCAGAGTCTACCTTAAACATGTTATACAGAGATATTTTTTTCCCATTTGTCAGTTCTGTGAACAATGACTTACTTCTGAATTTTCTGTCAAGGACGCTGAGTATTGAAGAGTCAGCTCCCTTGACATACAGAGTTATCTCCTCTGTTTCTGGGTGCTTGATGATCACAGACATTCGCTTGCGGACTGAGTCGAAGCTGAGAATATGGAGCACCTCAAACTCCACTTCCCCGTCACCTGGACACGATATACAACAGTTAACATGTGTTGTCAGGTGTACACCACAAAGTGAGTTCGTTGGTGGAATAGTTAGTAAAGAAAGAGTTACTGAAAAAGTGAGTGAGTGAGTGAGTGGATAAGAGTGATTAGGTTGGTGAGAGTGAGTGACTGAGTCAGTGAGTTCGTTGGTGTGAGAGTGAGTAAGGAAAGAGTTACTGAAGGGGTGAGTGAGTGACAGGTTGAATTAGTGAGTGCCGACGGTGTCCGATGGTTGGGTTGGTGTGAGTGAGTGACTGCAGGGTGAGTGAGAGTGTTATTGACTGAATGGTTGTGTGGACTGACTGAGTTTAGTTTTACGCCGCTTTTAGCAATATTCCAGCAAAATCACGGCGGGGGACACCAGAAATGGGCTTAACACATTGTACCCATGTGGGGAATCGAACCCGGGTCTTCGGCGTGACGAGCCAACGCTTTAACCACTAGGCTACCCCACCGCCCCTGGTTGTGTGGAAGTGTGGGTGTTGTGTTGGAGTGAGTGAATGAGCCATACTTTGTTACATACAGTTGGATTACACTATTTATCATGGTATAACCAATGTGATACGTTAACATACATATGTTAATGTTAAAAAAGTTACAATTGTCAAACAATATGGAGCATATATATGATACTTATACCTGAAAGTGATATATTACATACATCTTTTATTACATTACAATACCATTACCCAGGCAGTCACGTGTCTTTCAGTCTATCCAACCTAGCCATAACAATAAGGCTGACGGAAAATTCTGGTGGAAATGATCCAGACAGATCCAGCCAGTTTACGTAAACAATTAGACTAAGATGAGACTGTGTCGGTCCAGGTGTGCATCTAGTGAGAGCTGAACATACCTGGTAACCACACTGACACTCTCTCTGGAGAACGTTGTATCAACCGACAGCCGTAGGTACTAGCCGCCTTGACCAAAGCAAGTTCATCTGGACTCTCAGCTTCATATCGAGTCCGCTGTGAGCTGTCCGACATCTGCGACGATGATCCCGCTATGCTGCCATTGGATGATGTGAATTGGTAGTCAGATTCACTGTTGAGTGATGCCAGCGATGCTCCACGAGCCTTGGAGGACCTGTTAGGGGGGGTGGCTGCCTCGGGTAGTCGGTTGTAGCGGTCTAGGCCCTCCTCCCGCGATTGAGCAGCCTGCTTGAGGAACTCTGGTTGACTCAGAAAACCACTCTCGTCCATCTGAAGAATCAACATGCACATGGGTCAGGTAACTAGAAAACTACAGAGTCAGAAGCAGCCCCAGAACCGCAGTCTTCTAAAAATCACTAGGCTAGAAGCAAACACTGACTGGTACAAGGTTAAACATTGGGACTGGGACTTTTAGCACTCATGTCTGCAGGGAATGGGATGTTATGGCTGGTTGGGTGATTTGTTGTTTAATGCTGCACTCAGCCATATTCCAGCTATATGGCGGCAGTCTGTAAATAATCGAGTCTGGACCAGACAATCCAGTGATCAACCACATGAGCATCAATCTACACAATTGGGATATGATGACATGACATGGGGAATCAAACCTAGGTCTTTGGCATGATGAGTAAACACTTTACCTCTAGGCCACCCCATCACCCCCATCACACATCTGGAATTCTATCTTGGACACATGATAACACTTATATCAAATGGATTTATGATCCACAGGTGTGTAAGACATTACTACAGAAATGAGAGAACCTGTGGTTCAATTTTGGAGTTTACTCACCTCATCCTGATGTGGGTGATGCGATACCACGACTGTGTTGCACACGGCCATCAGCAGGAAGAACTCCTGCACTCGCTTCACATGCTCTGGGATGGTCAGCTCCACACTGTCCAGGCTCCGCAGACACATGTTGGACAGCTCCCTCTGCAGGGCGGGCTCCAGCGGAAGATTCTCATATATCTGGATCAGTTTAGAAATGGAGTGAGTGAGTGAGAAAGAGAGAGTGAGAGAGATACTACTAGAGAGAAAGAAAGAGAGTGAGAGTGAGTTGGTTTTGAGTTGGAAGAAAATTTGCTGCTGCTCTGAATAGTTTTAGTGCACTTGAATGATAAAGTGATGCTGTTTACATCTTTGCTGAAACCCTCAAGCACAGGTACGGTACTGGCTAACTTAGATACTAAGGCTGTTACGATTCATTCATTTATTCTGGGAATCGACTGGAATCCATTCATTAATTCAGTTTTATATACGTAATCACAAGAATTGAATATTAATTATTTTTTCACTTGGTTGTTGGGTGTTATTTATCACAGCAATGTATGCAAAACGGAATACATCCTAGCCAGACAGGATAACAGCCAACACTCTTATATATTTAATCCTAATGTAAAATGGTTACTATTCATTGTTGCAATAAATCTACACTGTCAACACGGTCAAAACATATCAAATAACTAACATGAACTTGTTATTGTATTCATGATATAATATTCGTATTTATTACCCCGTAATCGTGATATGTATCATATTCAGCTCCTAGTGGATTCATTGCAGCCTACTTTATACAAACTGAGTACAAATAAGTCATTTCAATCAATTATCACGTAAAGCACTGAAAGGGAGGTAACTCTAAACAGCAAATTGTTGTCAGTGCCATGATGGATCATGTACAACGACTACACACTGGAGATCACATGAAGCCAATCATGTACACTTTCAGTTAATCATTTAATGTAATTAAATTGCATACATCCTCATAATGAAATAAGAATTTTTTAATTTTTTTTCTTAAATCCCCTCCACTTGCTGTACATTTTAATCAAATGGGTATAATGAACTACTGTTATATCCAGAGACCTTATACCAAATATGGTCTCTGTTATAACAAACTAGAATAAGTAGTCCCTTTTAGTTCCTCACAACTCTTGTTTAGGCCGGATCAATTTTATTTCTTGTTTTACGGATTTTTGTCCTCAGAAGACCTAAAGGCATGAGGGAAAATTTAAAAAAAAATCACCAGTCAAAGTAATATTCCTTCTAAATGCTAAAAGTATTTTACTTTTGGAATTTATGAAGTGCATATGGGGCAAAAAACAATCTAAATGAAGTTTTCTTGTAAGTCTACATTTTTGGTCAATAAAAACATTAGAATTTTATTTCTAGAACGGGGAAAATTAATTTATATTTTTTTTCTTATTCTTGAAAAATAATGACCAGCGGGATGCATAAAACAAGAAATAAAATTGGTCTGGCCTTACTGTACATCAATATGTTTTGCGGTTACAAGGCATAAATAAACAAAAAATATAGATGTCCATACTCTGCACATACACATATCTGATCTACACAAAGTGTGGACACTGATTTTTTGCTTCAAAACATTTACAGGTAGCTATCATATAGCTTGAACAATGCTGAGTCCAGTATAAACAATGAGATGAGAATTTACATGATAAAGATTTACTATTCTAAACATTTCTTACAGAAAAAAGGATGGAGTATATAATTGTCTAGAAACTATTACTAATTTTCTTCAGTTTCACTGATGTTTGAACCAAATTTATTCACTACTGTTAATCTCTGAAAAAACTATAATTTTAGAACTAGTACTTTGAAGAGACAAAAAAGACATTGATCAGCTACAAGCTGTTGAGGCTGAATAAGGAAGCTTTTGTTGTTGCAATATGTTACATATCAGAAACATGCCATGAGAGTGAGCGGGTTTAGTTTTATGCCGCTTTTAGGAATATTCCAGCAATATCACAGCGGGGGACACAAGAAATGGGCTTCACACATTGTACCCATGTGGGGAATCGAACCCAGGTCTTCGGCCTGACAAGCCAACACTTCAACCACTACGCTACTCCACCACCCCTACTCCATGAGAGATATCTTGTGTATGGATGACATTATTTGTGGATTGTGATTCTACATCAACAAACAGCATATTCAAACTTTTATATGATCTCTCACAGTGTGGCCATGTGAGTTTTGAAAATGACCCGTATGCATTTCTGCAGAACTGGTCCCTGGCACCCACCTGCCAGGTATTTGCTCAGAACACTGCTGGTATAATGAAGGCATAACAACATGGAGAGAGAGCTCGTGAGTGAGTCAGTACGCCACCTTTAGCAATATTCCAGCAGAATCACGGTGGGGGACACCAGAAATGGGCTTCCCACATTGTACCCGAGTATTCGGCTAGACGAGTGAACGCTTTAACCACTTGGCTACCCCACTATGGACACTGACCTAACTTTTCTTTAAAATATTTTTAACATTAATTTATATGTGGACTCCACTCCTGAAAAAGTAAGGAAAATTGGGGAGGGCCAATAGGAGTGAGTGAGTGAATAAATAAACATAATGTATGTTTTCAATGGGTAAGCGGATGCTTTAACCATTAACCACTACCAAATTGCCCCGAGTAAGCCTGTTACCAAATGTCCTGACTTTTCATGGCTGATACACTATATCATGATCAATGGTATTCCAATTCTTTATATTATTGGTTCAACTTCAAATATCATTCGTTCAACAAAGCAATAAGTAGCAAACACAAACTTCACGCAAAATATATCCGACTGTCAGTCTAGTTGACAAAATCAACATTCTTAATAAAACCATGATGTTTTGAAAATATGTATGTTTTGTGTCAGTTTGTACTGACAAAAATATTGTGCATCAAATACGACTTGTGAAAGAGACAATTTAGTGTGTATTACAGTATCAGTATGTCACATCTAATTCCTGTGTCAAACTCTGTCAATCAATCAGAAAATTATCATTGCAGTTGATAATTTAGGATGACACATCAGCCAACATGATCCCCAACACACACATCCACATCAGTTTACTGCTGCTTAAAATATGCTGATTCAGCATATAATTGAATATTCTACCCAGGTGTGGTGTAGTGTGCTCCATAATAATTCATACCTTTCTGGCTGCTGAGTGTGACTGGAATATCTCTATACACTGACATCAACATGTGTCACAAATAACCAAACTGATCACAACCTGAAAATATACCTTAAAGCCTGAACCTAACATGTATGTTACTCGTAAAATATGAATTTGATGGACAACGATTTCCACTCGTCTAATCTAAATTCAAAGAGTTATCTTGTAGTTTATGCACGGATCTATATTCATCAGAAGGCTGCGTGCTATCTCAGCATTCATTGATCAGTTGAGAATATGCTGCATGTTATGGTTGGTTGTTTAACGCCACACTCAGCAATATTCCAGCTATATGGCGGAGGTCTGTAAATAATCAAGTCTGAACCAAATAATCCAGTGATCAACAGCATGAGCATCGATCTACACAATTAGGATACAATATGTGTCAACCAAGATAGCAATATTATTATCCAAAAATATCCTGATAATTTCAAACATACAGAGGTTAATGACAAGGCTAACATAAATAATGTAAATTTTCCTGAATTACTTGATTGACAGTGGAATGCGTTTCATATAAGGAACCTGAATAAATTGTTAAAATAGTGCAAACCGATTTCAATATTCGTATTTCCCAAATCTTATAACTATCTGACTTCAAATTCGTATATTTTTATCGGCAATTATCGCGACAAATGCAAAAAAAACATTCATGAAAAAAAATAAACAAAAACGTTTGTCGTAAACAAATCATATTTTCGATGTCATCACAAATTTTTCATTCGCGGGCGTTTCGTTTTAAGGTACATAAATTAATTGAAGATTATATATAGAAAGCTGAGAATTAATGCATTCCATACATAATTCAAATGACACATAAATCCAACTTGTTGAATAATTATTGCAAGTTTTATTTGGGGATGTCATTATGCTGCTGTCCTGTCGAATGGGTTCGACAGTAGCAATGAGAGGATTAAAGACTCTAGAATTTACATTCTTCAAATTAAGTTGCCTCTTTAGAGCCTGAGTTTTCCTGATACAATATTTACCTTGATAGGACATTAAAAATACGCTAAGGAAAAGTAGAATGACTGGCCTGATTCTTAATATCAGTTCCTTCCAGAAAGTGACAATCAATCTCTGTTGAAGTAACTTTCTAACTTTCTTTCTTCCTTAATCATTATTCTTTACAGTTTTCCGTGACAATATTTTGGAAGATAAAATACTGTTTATTTGTTTGTTTGTTTTTAAAAACAACACTCAGTAACATTCCAGCTCTATGCTTGCAGTACTCAGTAGTATTCCAGCTCTATGCTTGCAGTACTCAGTAACATTCCAGCTTTATGCTTGCAGTACTCAGTAACATTCCAGCTCTATGCTTGCAGTACTCAGTAACATTCCAGCTTTATGCTTGCAGTACTCAGTAACATTCCAGCTCTATGCTTGCAGTACTCAGTAACATTCCAGCTCTATGCTTGCAGTACTCAGTAATATTCCAGCTTTATGCTTGCAGTACTCAGTAATGTTCCAGCTCTATGCTAGCAGTACTCAGTACTATTCCAGTTCTATGCTTGCAGTACTCAGTAATGTTCCAGCTCTATGCTTGCAGTACTCAGTACTATTCCAGTTCTATGCTTGCAGTACTCAGTAATGTTCCAGCTCTATGCTTGCACTATTCAGTAGTATTCCAGCTCCCATGCTAGCAGCACTCAGTAATGTTCCAGCCCCATGCTTTGCAGTATTCAGTAGTATTCCAGCTCTATGCTAGCAGCACTCAGTAATGTTCGCTCTCTATGCTTGCAGTACTCAGTAATGTTCCAGCTCTATGCTTGCAGTACTCAGTACTATTCCAGTTCTATGCTTGCAGTACTCAGTAATGTTCCAGCTCTATGCTTGCAGTATTCAGTAGTATTCCAGCTCTATGCTAGCAGTACTCAGTAATGTTCCAGCTCTATGCTTGCAGTATTCAGTAGTATTCCAGCTCTATGCTAGCAGTACTCAGTAATGTTCCAGCTCTATGCTAGTAGTACTCAGTAATATTCCAGCTCTATGCTTGC